TAGCAATTTTTTCCGTAATTTTCGTAAACCGCCGCCAAAGTTTTTACTAAACAATCAATTTTTAAAAGCATTCCCGAGCCACCACCATAAATATAATCATCTGCTTGTCCTCGAATTGCTCAATCTCTAATATTATAAACTTGATAATTTAAACAGCCTTTTTGCAATGCTTTTTTGGCTATTGATACTTGAAAATAAGTGTTAAACAATTGAGGGAATAGCGTAAGATAGATGAAATTAGTAAATTGAGACAGTGCTTTCATTGTTATAAATTAGTTTTTTCTTGTGCCGAGCAAGCAGTAAAAAAATAATGATATTATGGTGAACTGAGAAAAGACAAAAGAATTAGTCAAAAATAATTCACTTCTTTGAAAATGGATGATTGATTATTTTAGTAGTATATTGGTCTTTTCGTAAGCAGGGCAAACAAACTTGATTTTCCCTGAGCAGGAAAAGAAAAAAATTTTGCGTCAAGTAAATTTATTTTTCCTAGGAATGGTTCTGGCTCATTTTTTAGTTAAATTTATTTCTCTTTTTAGCGACAGTTGGTTTTATTTGAATTTACAAGAAAAGTAATTGAAATTTAATTTATCCCATTATTTTACATTTTTTGGTAAATGTGTTAATTCTAATTTTCCTTTAATATAATTTTATTTTGCTGAATTTTAGTTGGCGAGTTTAAAATTAAAGTTTATATGAATAGAAAAATTATCATCACTCCTGAGGGTCATTCAATTCTCAAAAAAAAAAATAGCTCGTCTAGAAAAAGACAAGCAAAAAGTAGCCGAAAGACTAGGTTTAACCAGTTTGGATAGCGATCTTTCAGAAAATTCAGACTTTTTAGTCTTGGACACCAAAAACATGAATCTACTTAAAGAGATTGAAGAGCATAAAAATTATTTGGAAAAAGCAGAGGTGCACGAAAAAAGTAATAATAAAACTTTCATAGGATTAGGAAGTATAGTAATTTATTCGCAGCTTGATAAGAAAGAAAAATTAATCATAGAGTTAACGGATGACATCGCGGCCGCTCCGCCTCACCAAGTTTCGGTAAATAGTCCTTTTGGAGAAAAAATTATTAGGAAAAAAAGTTGGCGACATTATTCAGCAAGGAAAAAATAAATATCAAATCTTAGAAATTAAATAAATTTTTCCCAGGCCGGAAAAAGATTAATTAATTCAATTGTTAACTTTAACTAATTCTTTTAATATTGACAAGTTTTTCGGCTTTTGAAAATAATTCATTACTTCTTTTTGGGTTTCGGCTCCTAATTTTTGTCCAATCAGATCTAATTTATTTTCTTCTATTGCTTGAATAAAACTAATTAAATCAGAATAAAAATCGGCCAATTTGCGGGCTTTAACTTTCCCCAACAGAGGAATCCCCAGTGCCGTTATCAAACAAAAAAAAGGCATCTTTTTCGATCGCTCCACGCTATTTAAAAGATTATTAACCGATTTTCTTTGCAAACCTTCTATTTTTAATAATTCTTTTTTTCTTGGCTCTAAATAGTAAAAATCAGCCGGGGTTTTCAGCAAATTAGTTTGATATAATTTGCGGATTACCATTTCACTAATACCTTTTATATCCATTCCGGGCTTGGAAGAAAAAAGAGTTAAAGATTTAATATTTCTTTCGGAACAATCTTCATTAGGACAGTTTTGGTAAATTTCCTCCTGATTTCATTCAAGAGGAGCAGAACAAGAGGGACAATTGACAGGCGGAATTCAGCAACCATTTTGTCCATCCATTTTAATTACTTGAATTACTTGGGGAATAATATCACCAGCTTTTTTGATTACTACCCGATCGCCAATATTAAGATTTAATTCCCGAATGAAACCATAATTGTGTAAAGTAGCTT